TTTTTTTTTGAACTGGATTTTAAAATGGTTGAAAATGAAAAGAATACGACACAACAGGTATCTAGAGTTACCTCAGCAAATATAAATTAAAATAACGAATCTTCTACAGATGTTGCGATTATGAGTCGAGCTTCTAAATAGAAAAGGTAGATAGAACTCTTTCCTTGCCCATATTGTATACCTATGCAATTGGATATCTACATAGGTTTGAATCGTATCCATATACGATCTAAAGCCTAGGGCTATCAAACCAAAGTTGGATTAAGTTTCTCAAAGGCGTCTCTCACAAATGTCGAACTGTAGTTTCATTTGTCTCAAAGTTTCACCTTTGAGAGATTTAACCGTAACATTTCAAACTTGAGAGTTTTAAGTGTAATATTTTAAGTTTGAGATGTTTAAGTGTTTAAACACCTATAAACTTGAGGGAATATGTATATAATCTATTAATGACAACAGATGTCTAAATGTTAAGTGCGTACAAATTTTAGGGGTCTATGTGTAATATTTTAAATGTCAAGAAATTTAAGTGATTAAGAGATAAATTTCAAAGAGTTTGAATGTAATTTTTTCTTAATCTAAAGAGTATATTGAATTAGGTTTATTTTCCATTTTTCTTACACCATGGGAACCTAAACTTGATTGAAAATAAAAAACCTTGGTTTTTGCATTTTTTCAGTTCCAAATAATCAGCCCAGCAAATAAAATATATACAAAGCAATGTATCTTGATGTATATATCTTCATTATTATATAACACTATCTAGCCGAAAACATGTAGAAACTAGAAATTAAGTAAACTTCATCTGTACAGAAAGATCTGAAGGATATATATGCAGTACTATCCAATTGTGTGGGTTGATACAAAACCAAAAATATCAAAAAGGCCCAAAACCAGCCCTAAATCTGATTGTCTTGGACTCTTGCTCTTGAGGACCTCGAAGCTGAAAGATTTTCTTCCTGTGAGAAAGACTATGTTTTCTTGATCCATCTGGTGTATGTATTGAGCTTGAGCTGTGTGAAATCAGGGTTTCTAAAGACAACCCAAGCCTTTAGCTTCTGAACCTTTCATGATTCTCAGCCTTTTGCAAGAGGAAATAAACATCTCCCATGGAACATCTCCGACCAGCATCCAATCGCCATCTTTGTCTTCATAAGTTGGTGCATATTCAGATCCATCATATCCTTCTCTCTCCGAGTATACACCTATACAAACCATTGAATAAAATAATTAAAAGAATGTCACCAAAAGAATATACATCTTCACTTTCATCGTCACCATCATTCAATCACAAGTCACAATACAAAGGACTTGGTTTCTTACCTATGGTGCACTTGAACATGTCTTCCAAGGCGCTGAGGAGATCTGGGTAGCTTTTGTAAACCTTTATATCGATCTTTCTAAGATAAGGAGCTCCATCCATGCTCACTTTCACGTAAATTCCGGCAGTTTCAGCCTCCACCTTCTTCGGTTGGAAAACATTTTTCCGGTAGGATTGGACAGGTGGCCACCCTACTACTTGTGCCCTGCCATTTCATTATAAACCGATATAAGTTCATGCATGAGCTTTACTATAACATATGGATGCCTTGTTCAACCGATTAACGTGTCTTTTTTGGATAAATAAAATTATAACTACTTGTAAATATACAGTAGTGTTCAAGACATGTTCGACTCGAAGACTCTCCAACTATTACTCAATGGGAGATACCAAGGAAACCGATGAACATGTCAAAGCTATAAGTAATAAGATTCACTTACTTGGTTGCAGAGCAACTGTGTTGGTCACCCTTTTCGGAATCTGGTTGCAGAGCAACTGTATTAAAAGCTCTTTTGTTGCTTTTAATACCAGCAGACGGTTGTTTTCCGGGCTCATCAGTGCCTGGCAACCCTAATCTTAGCTCTGTTGCCTTAAGATTCAGATCACTCTCATAGCAGGTCACCGTCCTGGCCATTTCCATTAATCTTCGCGATAACTCCACAACAAATGAAATTGTAAGTGCAAACTGATTGATACCACCACCTTCTTTCAAACTTATTAATAGGGTACACAAGATATATTTTCAAAGTTTCCGGTGAGTTTCTGTAAATTCCGACTACGACAGAGGGTTCAAAGTTTTGTGCTATGGAGGAGAGGGTATGATACAGAAGAATTTTATAGGATGGTTAGGGTGAGACAAGACCTAGGTGACTTATTCTCCTTGTGCATGAAATTCAGAACATAGGGTTGCCCTATTGTCACGCACTTTGTAACTCATACCTCTGTATTCAAGCAATCACATGCTGTCGTAATATATACCCGAGAGTAATGCGCGTAGGAGATGAAGTTTATTCGTGGGGCATGGACAGCTATGGATGTTGGTCACATGACCGGCACGTTTGAGTCATTGTTAAGCAATGAGGGGACAAAGGAGAGACAAGCCCAACCGCCCGTATTGAAGGGTGTGGTCCAGGAGTGGACGGTTGAGATGCTATCTAGGGGGTTGACGGAGTGAAATCAGAAGCGTTGCATCATACAGGGTTAGTAAAGCAGCCCATGTGAGGTGGGTCCCAGTATGTCGGTTAAAATGAGAGTAGTTCATGGCCATTTGAGTTGTGATTAGTGGGACCGGTTAGAAAGTTGATTGGCTTAATGTGAACGGGGTTGCACGAGGTTTTTGTGATAAAGTTTAAATTTAAATAGGTTTAAAGCTACAGTAATATCTCAAAAATTTTTGTTTTGAATTATATGTTTCATTATTATCTTCTTCAAGTTACTATTATAATTCGTCTTTTAATTATGTTAAAGTATCGTTACTACGACATAAAATACATAGAACTGGACAGAAAAAATTTCATGTGAACACGAATTCAACAAACAATAAAAGTTATCAGAGAAACATCATTATCACAAGATTATGTTCACAATATCAAAGTAAGAGTAGTCTATCAGAATTAAATCATAATTATATAAGCAACAATAATTAGTAATAGATCTGCATATAAATCAACAAAACAAACTTAAACTACCATTCACTTGACTCTGATACCAGAAAAGGGGGAAGATCGTTGTATCTACAAAATAAAGAACTTTTATTAATTCAAAAGTATATTTAAAGAGTAGAGTCTACTTGCAGTAGTAGACCAGGATGCAGAAGAAGAAGAGTTTATACAATAAAATGATTCACCGAGAGTACAAGAGGGACAAAATGAAGGAGTTGGTAGAAAAGTGGGTGAGATAGAAAGGAGGTGTAGGAGTGGTCTGGGGACGGTGCTCCACAAATCGGGCCTGAATTCCTATATATAGAGTCGGATATGAAATTCGGATTTCAAAATAAAAAATATTACTTACAACTTTATATTATTCCTAACTTTAATGATTTACAATGACGTCATTGCCTACGTCATAAATATTGTACACTTTTTATTGTACACTTTTCACAGTCTTTATAGTGACGTAAGGGCGTACATCACGTCGTTGTAGTGACGTCAGGATGTGCATCACTTATTCCAGGTCAGCTTTATCCGAGAAATCAATTTTATTTGATTATTTCCTGAAAAATAAAGTAGACAGTACATTATCTCTGTCATCATGTAGATTTATCTCCATATCATTATTTAACAAATCTTTGTTAATTTCAATGTCACCTTTAAGAGGGGTATATTCTTGGGAATCCATAATGTCGTCGTTAGAATTAATAGGAGTAAGAGAATTCCTATTTTCTTCCTCAACTTTATCTTCCCTTTTGCTTTTTATGGCAATTGTATGAGTGTTAATGAGATTCAACTTTTCAGTTTTGTTCATGCCAAAAGTAGATATGATCTGAAAATTGAATTCCTTCGTAACTACTGTTTTAAGCTGCTCAGGATTTAAGTGGAATTTTTCGTTTTTAATTAATTTTTAAGAACTTCAATAGGATTTAAATTAATTCGAGTATTTATACTAGTAGAGGGAACCATTGATGTAGAAGATGAAGTTTTATCTGTTGAAGATTTATCTTCTCCTTTATCTATGTTTTTAAAACATTCCGCTATAATTTTATTTTTAAACTCAAGCGGATAATTTTCTCAAAATTAGGCCAAATATTTCCTGATGTGTCTAGAATCAATAATATCCTTGATTTGACATGGATCATTAATATAAGGATATATCCTTTTAATGAAATTATGAAGCTCCATATATGGAGGCAAAGTTAAAAATTTTGGAATAGTAGAGAGAGATTTATCTCCTTACAACTTTTCTTTATAGTCAACTTTATTTGACAAAGAAGCAACAACTTTAAGTTATTTTGACGGGTTATTATTCATATCACATTTATGTGATGATGTCTTTATAGAGAGTGGAGGATAATAAACATTTTCATATGCATTAAAATAATGAGAATCCTTATATGAATTAAAATAATATGCACTTCTATATGCATCAAAAGCATTTTTATAGTCATCAGAGAAATATGTATGTTTATATGCCAAAACTTGGGTTCTAACAGTTATACCACCAAGTTATTTATCATTTTTTGGCAAAATTCTTCTGGGACTATAGTCACTAGTCATTGTTTATAATGTCAATTATAGTGCCAGTCATTAATTTCAAGAATAAGATGGAACTTTAAACCTGCTTTTAAATATTTTTTTTGACGTCTTGCAATTCTTAATAAAAAGATAGGTATATGATCAATTAATTGATCTTCCATAGCATTGCAATAGAGACACCAAAAATGAAACTTTGCAATTATTAGTACTCCATGTGGAGGAAAAGCTATAAACATCTTTTTCTGCATAATCACAAAAATAGTCAAGAAGCTCTGGTGATTTGACAATAAGATCCAAAGAGAATAAATCTGGGTTAGGACTCATTTCTGTAACTTCTTGGTCTTGTCCTGCAAAATAAACATCACTTTTTAATATGTTAGAATATAATGAAAAATTTAATTGATTTTTTTTATAAATCAGATTTTCTTTTATTTGATTTATCAATTTTATTTGAGGTGGAATTATAAATTCAAATAATATTTGTTGACCATTTATGGTCGTCAAAATTCTGTTAGAATCAATCCTTTCTATGGGTTTAATTAAAGATAAAAATGGTGTTCCTAAGATCACCAATTAATTTAAATTATCAATAAGCATAAAAGTGGTAGAAATACAAATTCCTTGATTACATACAAAAATATTAGAGAGTTTAAAATTTATATTTAATTTTGACCCATCAGACACTGACTAACTGAGTAATTTTTTCAAAATATTTAGTAGGAATTAATCCTGCCTTTATGCAGTTCATATCTACTCCACTGTCAATTAGAGCAATAGTTTCGATAGTAAACTCAAAATTTATAACTAAAATAATTTTAACAATCCATTTTTGATAAGTTATTTTTTCTAAAATATTTATATTGTTATTTGGTGATGGTTTATCATCAAAGTTAGATAGTGATGGTGATACTATATCATCTTGTATGTCACTTTCTCTAGATAAAATTTTTTCTAAAATTAATAATCTAGACTTTAAGACTTTTATGTCTTCTTTGACTTCATTAATTTCTATCTTTATATTTTGAACCGTAGTAGGCCAAGCTTCCTTTATATGGAGTGGACTATCACTCATATCCTTTTCACTTCTATTAAGGACTTTTTTTAATGAATATGGTTGAGACAGATTAGGTCTCTTTTATTCTGTATTTATCTCTAAAAATTGTTCAATAACTTTTCTTTTGGATTCTGGATCTTGAATTTTATCGATAAGGTCTAGAATAAAATTTTGTGACTTAATCAAAGTATTTATACTTAATTCATTCGTAGCTAGAATAGCTTTATAATAATCATTTTCAACTTTACAATGTGAATAACAAGTTTTATCTTGTCTTAAAGATTCTGTTTCTGAAGAAAAATTACTAATTTCATTAATATTATAATCTTCAAAAAAATTATCAGAATTATCTTCTAACTCACTTTCGGAGTTTAAAACAATTTTAAAGATTTGTTCTTTAAGGTCTTCATCATTAATTAATTCATTTATCTATTGTTTAGTTAAACATTTAGAGGCAATGTAACCCTCTTTTCCACACTTAAAACAATTAATAAAAGTTTTTTATTTTGTAGATACAACGATCTTCCCCCCTTTCTGGTATCAGAGCCAAGTGAATGGTAGTTTAAGTTTATTCTGTTAATTTATATACAGATCTATTACTAATTCTTGTTGCTTATGTAATTGTGATTTAATTCTGATAGACTACTCTTACTTTGATATTGTGAACATAATCTTGTGATAATGATGTTTCTCTGATAGCTTTTATTGTTTATTGAATTCGTGTTCGCATGAAATTTTTCCTGTAGAGTTCTATGTCTGGTGATGTGTGGGATATTAGGCCATTTTAGCCATTTTTGTGATTGTTAGGCATTTTTATGGCAAGTTTCTGGTCTCGGTATCGTTGACAGAATAGGATTTTGGAAAAATTTACTAGAACAGGTTTAGCTCACGATAGATGCTGAGAAACTTATTATTTTCGGATTATTGTAGCAATTGTCACAGTAACGGTACTTTAACAGAATTAAAAAGACGAATTACAGTAAAAACTTGAAGAAGGTAATAGTGAAACATATAATTCAACAAAAAAACTTTTGAGATACTACTATGGCTTTAAACCTATTTAAATTTAAACTTAATCATAAAAATGACTATGTTAAAAATATGGAAGAGATAAAATTCTTTGATATTGAAAATAAATTACAGAATTGGGATATACCCTAGCACCCAACTAAGAAAATCTATAATATTGACACTTTTAATTTTAAATCGAGTTTTACTATTAAAATGATTGAAAGGACTGTTCCTTTTGAACAGAATGAAGATATTTTACAACTGCTAACTGAACGAGAAGTCTTAAAGGCTCAAGATCAAGATTATAAATTTTTGCATATTAGTTTAGTAAAACTTGTTTTAAAACCTTTAACTCTTCATGGATTAAATGTTTTTTTTATGTTAGCATTAAGAGATTCTAGATGTCTTAATTTTGATCAGTCTTTAATGGGTGTTATCCAGTCCAACTTAAGTACTGGTCCAGTTTATTTTAACTGTTTTTCAAATCTATATGTATCTTTAACTAATAAAAATATGTGGATGTTTTAACATATCATATAAAATCTTATGGTTATAATTATAAAGCAGACACAAATATAATTGTGTTTGTTTATAGGGTTTATTATAAAGTTATGAATATTTTATGTCCTGAAGCTAAGTTTTTGAATCTTAAAGGTCAAACC